AATCCGTCATATGACCATCATCATCGTCACAACCAACTTCAAGCTAATGAGTCAAGAAGACTCAGCGGTTCATAGATAAATGCTGTTTATATACTCTATAGCTGAGTTCTTTGATGAAGTGTAAAGTGATCTGGTTAGTTTCAGTCACAGGCCAACCTCGGAGCATGTCTCTGAATGTGAATGTGTCTCTACGTGTTCGTATATGTACAAAACCAGCAGTGATAGCCCAAAGTAACTTGGACAACAAAAGTAACGTCTCTTCTCGACTATCAAGGTTTGATGACCACAATCACCCCCTCTATGTATATGTTTGAACCATCACTCCGATTGCACAAGGTCAGACACACGTATGGTTATGTCAATGAGCCTTTTGTTGTTTTTGGTCTAAATGCGAGAGGGAAAGAGTTAGCTAGAAGTACAGAGAAGTGATGATGATTAGAGCCAAGACAAGAAAAGACTATGAAATGTATTCACCCTATTTCGTCTAAGGTGATGAAGGACTGGTAGTAGAATTTTCCCACAATGATATGAGTAGAGCTAACGTTTCCATTGAATTCCACATATCCTAGCTTTCACAAAAGTAGCTCTCATCCATATTGGATCATAGTTTCGACCTCGCATCGGTCTTATCAACACCCCCAGCGGGAGTCGAACCGTGACAATGCAGCATTTGAGCTTGACACGTTAACCACGTTACTTAATTATCGTATTTGAGTAGATTTTTGAGACTACCAGTAAATCAGTAATATGAGATGAATTCACCCTATTTCGTTTAAGGTGTTGACGTAGTCGATTGTCATAGCAAATTTACGTTTGCTTCATCGACAATCCCGCCAAAGAATATGATATAGCAAAAGGCCTGGCCTTCCTTGAAATTCACATCTGCCCTATGACCCAAGGACACTCGTGACAATGTGGCCGAGTGGTTAACGTGTCAAGCTCCCATTTTGAACTGTCACGGTTCGACTCCCGCTGGGGGTGTTGATATGACCGATGTGAGGTCGAAAATGCAGTCCACCCTGGATGAGAACAACTCTTGGGAAAGCAAGGATATGTGAAATTCAATAAAAACGTCAGCTCAACTCATATCATTGTGGGAAAATTCTACTACCAGTCCTTCACCATCTTAAACGAAATAAGGTGAGTTCAACTCATATTATTTATAAGTAAAATGTAAATGTAAAAACACTTTTATACGAAAACAAAGTCTCCACAACAATTTTATCTCAGCTTCTCTTCGTATTTGCACTTTTGTAAACTCGTGTTGACGGACAGGTGGCTCTGCGGGCCCTTGGCTTCAACTATACAAACATGGATTCAGAGAACTTGAGGCAGCAGTTCAGTGACTCCAACGGAGAGGTCGACTTTGGTGAGTTTATGGCCATTCTCTCCGAGAAAATGTTGGCCATCGACGATGCTGTGGACATCGAGAAGAGTTTCCATTTGATGGACGCCGACGGTAAGGGCTACATCGATCTGCAGGACATGCGGAACACAGCCAACCTACTCGGACTGGACGATGTGGGTGAAGACGAGCTGGTTTCTATGCTGATGGGTGCTCGAATGGCGGATCCTTCAGTTGAACTCCAGCAGCAGTACGAGTCTCGTCAACATCAGCGTCGGATGCGTAGCAACCAGTTCACCAGACCGCTTGAAACGACGTTGCTGCCCTCGACCGGATCAGGAGCCATGTCGCCGGCTCCGAGGGCTGATGGTGGCCCTGGAAGAGGGGTCCGAGGAAGTGGATCCGCGGGAGAGGCGCATTCTTCCTCGAGTCCGTCGAACA